TTGAGGCCATTTTTATCGACCGCAATGAAATAAATATCACCGATGGTATTTTAAGTTTGTTTTTCATTATATAATAATTATTGCTCTGTCTTTGACATAGAGCTCTCACTTGATTTATATCTTCTTAGAAATTCCATACAAATTACCAATATTTTTATTATATATGAAATTTACTTTTGGCTGGAGTAATAAAGTATGTAGAGCAGATTAAAATTATAAAATTGTGCAATGTATACCCTTAATCACTACCTAGGTTTCTACCGTTAGGTGTCATCAGTTGGTAGAGTACATTTTCACATTTTATAATTTTATATATATATAGTAATGCATTGGGTAAACTCTAGTAAAAAAAAAAAATAAGAAAAAAAATTTTCTGATTTCATATCAAAGACTCTCTTTCAGGGCACATATTCTGTAGTTGTCTTTAACTCCTGATTTCATCAACAATTGTCTTACTTAATATTCATGCTCTTCTAAGTCAAGTAACAGTAATGAATTTATAGTCTTGTAATCTTTACAGGATTGACAACATGAAGAAAATGCTTCTTAATTGAAATCATAATTTTCCTTTTCCATTGTTTTTTTACATAAGGTTGAACCTAGAAGTTTTTTTATATATTTTTTTTGCTGTCATTGAATCATATTTACTTATGCCAACATTAGTAATGATTTATTAATCATATAAAAGCATTTCAAATACAAAATTATTTTAACTGATCTGACAATATGCTATATTCTTCAGGTAAATATTTTCTTTAGTAGTCAATTTCAACAAACTCACACTATATTCAATTTGTCTTTCCTTGTTGCACCTTGTTCATAGATAAATGAATGCAAGACTTTGACATCTTGCTAAAACAGATATCAGTTTAAAATAAAGAAACTATATTTTAGGTTTTGAATTTTAGAATTTTCAGTTCTTTGAGGCTGTGAATTTTCGAATTTTCAGTTCTTTGAGGCTGTGAATTTTAGAATTTTCAGTTCTTTTGAGGCTGTGAATTTTACAGTTCTCAGTTCTAATTTAGAACAAAGTTAAATATGCTTCTTGTTTCAACTTTTCTTCATTATTCTTCTAATGTGGCAACCAGCTGCAAACAGATAACAAATACTTGGTTTTCAAAAATTAGATTCCAACCCAAAATGTTGTTAACAAAAGTGAACATTGTTTTTAATTTTGTGTTTAGTGTTATGTACCATACCTACCCAGTTATATATTCAGTGAGCTTGTGACCTGCGTGCTGTTATATAGCAATTTAAGAAAATAGAATTTATTCAGCATATACAGGTGTTTACAAATTTATTCAAGGTAGTTTTCTTTTACACTTTTTGATTAATCATTCCAAATTTGATGACACTTACTCATTTTTAGTAAACAGTAATTTTTAATATATGGATTGATAATAAATAAGAAAGTATTAATATTACTTTATTTCTCTAATTATTGATATAACTTTTGCTTAAGTATTCACCTGCCACCCCTCAACTAATACTTAATCAAGATTTCTTGATATAGACATTTTCTATATCCTTATATATAAGACTTCTGCATTTCTTTAGAAGTGGTATTTTCAATTATTCTTCTTTACAGAACCATTCGAAATATTTCAAATTCAATGAATTCCATTTTTAAACAACAGTTTTCAATTGATGTCACAAATGTTTGATTGGATTTAGGCCAGATGATTGAGAAGGTTATTACCATAACCATATTCTCTTTAAACCATTCTGAGGTTTTCAAAGTATGTAACAAATTTTTCCAAAGATATTTTATTGAATTAATTTTCCCCTTCAATCTTAATGAGTTTCCCAGTACTTGCTGTACTAGAGTCGTCCCCATAAAATGATATGTCCACAGCATATGTTGAAATGCTATTTTTTCGATTATGCACTGTTTTTTTTTTTTTTTTTTTTTTTTTTACTCATTGCTGGTTGTCTTGTAAAAGTTCATTACTTGATTAGTCTGATGAAATAACTGTATTGAAGTAAATTCTTTGATTGAGCCCAAATTGTTTTAGCAAATGTTATATGACCATAAAAAGTGCTCTCTAGTAGCTTTTTGTGCAACCCCTCCATGAAATCATTGATTCATTATTGTACAAATTGTTGAAACCTGTCCATCTGTTTAAGTGTTCTTAATATCCAGGGCCAGATTAAGAACCATCGGGGTCATAAGCACTTAAAAAATTTTGGTGCCCCCACTCCCCATCTACAATTTAAGTAAATGAATTTAAGTGAATTAAGAGAAAGAAAATTATGGTATTTTTAATTTTGTGTTTGTTTATCATTGGTGTAGCAAAAAACGTTTCCAAATCAACATGCAGTCAATCACCGAACATAGATGAAAATGCCTACTAGACATTAATCCTGCATAAACAAATTGTTATGATACACATGGATGCACATGAAGTTGGTGCTACTATAGTATGATATCTACCGTCCATTTTGTACTATAGTATCATATCTACTATTCATTTTCTACTATGGTATGATATTTACCAACTGTTGGAAGTATATTGTAAATATGTTAATGTTAGAGGTTGGGGTTAAAGGTATAACTATAAATTTTATATTAAAAATCATTAACAATTTTTTATACAAAAAAAAATATCATCAAATAGTGATTTTAATGTTTTTAAACTGATTTAATATCATTTTAAAAAAAAAAATCCAGTAAACAGGTCATCGTTTTTCCTGAGCTTTTTCCAGCAATAATGATTGCATTGTCATTTTATGGAAAGTAGCAAATGTCTTGGTAGACATCATACTATTGTAGCACCATAAATTAAAAATACTAGAATTTTTTTTCTCCTCCACATTTAATTCCCTGATGAAGCTTTAATAGAAGTGAAATATGTTAGATTTATAACTGTTTACTATATATATATATATATATATATATTATTAGTAAGAAGACTAAGGAATTTCATTCCCCTAAAAATCCAGGGGCCTTCTAAATGTCCGGTGTATTTGAAGATTCCCTGATTGGGGATAGGGTCAGGGCTTAATTAAGCAGGTTAGCAAGTCGGTTTTCGGTTGTTTCCCATCAGTTGCTTCAACGTAGCATTTTTGAACTAGGTCTGTGTTTCCGTCTTTTTGCAAGGATGTATTGCCTACATCAAATTGAGTAATTTAGTATATGAATTTAATTGCCAGTGTGCTGCTGGTTATGTGGGGCGTACAACCTTGCATTTGGAAACTAGAATCAGTCAGCAAGTACCTTCCAAAATACGACTTGGTAAGATAGATAGAATATGCTATCTTCCCCATGAATATGGAATTGGCTATTGCTCAACATTTAGTTGAGAATATAGCATCATAAAGTTGTTTAAAAAGAGTGGTTTAAAGTTATTCATACAGCCGATTCTAACAATCATTTGAAGATTTTGGAATCAGTCTGCATAGGATTAAGGAAACCTTCTCTCTGCCGGCAGAAAGAATTTGTAAAGTCTCTTAATCTGTTGGGGGATATTTTATTTTAATTGTCCCTCGCTAATTTATTTACATGATTATTTCCCCTCCCCTCGTTACAAATATATACACTTGTTTGTTATTTTAGTGTGTTTCCCCCCTCTTTTTGCTCTTCATTGTCGTTAATATTCTTTTCGCTGATCCAACGATTGTCTCCTGTTGAGATGTTGGCTGAAAGAGCCCTAGAGACTTTTAAAATTAAAATCAATACATTCCTTGTTTTTAAAACTATATATAAATTTTGTACCTCTAAACATTTGTTTATATATATATTATATATATATATTCTGCCCTTGGCAGTCCATGTCCTCAAAGACAGATCTCTAAATGCTTAAAGGCAATTAAGACTCTGAAGATGAAGTCCCATTGATTGGCACATTTATTAAAGGCTGAATGGATAAAACTAGAAAAAGGGTAATGAGAAATATGAGAAGACATTCGCAGGCTTTGAACATAGAAGAACTAATATCATTTGTCTAAATAGGTAAAGAAATGTAGTAAATACTTTGTTTACATGAATATGTATGAAGTTTGCTACAATTGGATACATTCCAATGTTGCAGTGAATTCACGGAAAAGAAAGTTAGATGAAGGTTACATTTTGCAACAGTGTATATGGACAGTGGACACACACAAATGTATAAACATATGACTCCTTTAAACAAATGTTCAAATAATAACATGGAAATAAATTAGACAAATGTAGAGAAAAAAAAAAAAGGTATTAAAATTTACAAATCAGTGATGGTTACCATTGGAGGATGATAAAACTTCTGACCACATATTTGGTGTCATGCTTTTATTGTGAGGGGTTCCAGTGATATACTAAGGGCTAACTGGAAATTGTCAAAAATGGTGACCAATTTAAAAGGTACCTAAACTGCAAAAGGGACAAACAAATGAAAGTAAAACAATTCAGTTTGTGTACTGCGGTAACAGAACAATTTACGTATGTATGTATGTATGTACACACTCTCTTGCACATGTATGAGAGGGAGGGAGGAAGGGAAGTAGCTGAATAAACATCCCTAAATAGAAATGACGACAAAATAGATCTGATTCTAGTTATTTCCACCTTTTTGTTTTTCTATTTTAATGTCATTAAGAAAGTCATAAGCTCCACATTGTCCTAAATTCATTATCTTGATGTAATTTTGTTACTGGTAAAATATATTATAGAGAGGACAGCATGAAGACAATATTATACAGTTCTTTCGTATAATAATTTGCATCTGATCACAGATTTCTCAAGATAATTGATATTTTATATGCAAATAAATATCCTTATATCTTATAGATAAATAATTTAGTAGGGTAAGACATCGCGGTATATGGACCAGTTTTTGATTGGGCTATGTGGACTAATAATTAATTTACAATTTGTAAATAAATGTGTTCTTGTTTTTTTATGCTTAAATTTTATAAATAAATTGTCATGAGAAAATCTATATCTATAAATGTATTATATAAATATAATGTCTTAAAGAAAATGTCTTTGTTTCAGAAAAATTAATGGAAAAATTTTTTTGTAGTATTACAGAATGCTTTGTGGTGACCGGTGTGTGTCGCAAGTTGTCAAAGTTGGAACGAAGTAAGTACTTAGTCAATATCATTTTATAGTCCCATGTTCAAAATGTCTGTTTATCTTTAAGCAACTTTATTTTTCCTGTTTTATAAATGTTTCATGATTTTTATGCTTATCTGTTCTATAAATTGATCAGGCTGAATATTGTAAATCTTTTTTTTCATACAGTAAATAAATTGTTGGATTTCATTTATGATCATTTAATTCTTTTCCAGATTGAAATTGCATTAATCCTCTCTGGTCAAATTAGCAGACATTAAAATCAGTTTTAATATTGTAACAAGCACAATCTCAATCATTAACCCAGTCATCTGCCACTAAACAAACAAAAAATGTGTTACTGATTAGTCAAGTATTAAAAAATAACTTTTATAACTCATTGTCTTAAAAGCTGCACTGAAAGTTGATTGCCTCTAAACCTATTTTGTATAATCGTCTCTAGTATTTTAAAAATCTTGCAAAACTTTATTATCTTTTTTTTTTTGTTTATAGTATAGTTTGGAGAAATGGGGGTCCCCTGTTAAAAAGAATCACAGGTCGTATAATTCCTCTTGAGTGGCCAAATTTTTGGTCAGCTTCCATCAGATTTTAAAATGTTAAACTGTAACTGATTTTCCATTAAAAATGTGTAAGTAATTTAGCTTTCATAGGTTACTCTGTTTATTTTAACTGTAGATTGTTTTTAAAGAAAAAGCAGTAGAACATTTCTATTGTGTGATTTATTTTAGTCAAGGGTTGAAATATATATAGAATGTATAATTCTCAAGCACACATACATCTTTCCTTTGAACATGTATATCTGTACAGACATGCTTAGACAAATACATCCTTCTGTGTGTGTGTACACACACACACATACACTGATAGATTTATATATATATATATATATATATATATATATATATATATATATATATATATATATATAACTAGTGTTATTAAATTCAATTAATAATGTTTCATTTTTTATTGTATTTTTTATAATTTCTGAATAAGTAGTACATCCAAATAAATCAAAATTGTAGATAAAATGTCCAAAGTTTCTGTTTTTGCTTGAGTACTTTTAAGCATTTCAGTCATTATCAAGAACTGAATGTTTCAGTATTGTAGGCAAAAGCTTTGTTAGCTACATTTTGGCAATGTTTTTTTTTCTTTTTGAAAGATACAATTCATATTAAATTATGTAATGAGTTCTCATGTCCTTTGGAAGATTGCATCTACAAAATTAGTAGAAAAAAAAAATTCTTATATTGGCCACATATACCCCACACTCTTATCGGTTAACTTGTTACTTGACCAAAATATGACTAAAATTAATGGCTGGCTACATATTTTCAAGCACACCTGTCTGCCCAGGTAGCTAGCCAATCCTTGTTACACATGTCTGTTTGTATTTGGTCAACTCACACAAATCCAACCTGTGGTTTATAATGTTACTCAGCCGAGCCAGACCATAGTTACATAATCTGGCAGGATCAACAGTTTGAATAAGGCCAGTATACTCAAACCCTCTATCATGATAACTCTTGATTTTGCACAACTATTAATGGTTTCCTAACATTTTCATCTATCCTATTTAACTCACAAGGTTTGAATCAATCTGTGGTATGCTTTTTAGGTATGGTGCTGCATGCTGGGATCAATTCTAATGACTTGGCCATGTTCCCATTAATTCAGCTGTTAACATAAGACAAATAGTAGATAATACCAAAATACTAAACAGCACTCACTGTAAGGAAAGACTCAAAATACTTGAAGCAAAAGAAACAACTCACATTAAATATCTTTCACCATATTAAACAGTTATTTAAAGTGCATATAAAATATTTTTTATATGTATATAAAATGTTAATAATGATATGTATAAAGTTTCTAATGCATTTTTTACTGGGGCAATCAAGCATTGTCAAGCTGTTCTACACATGATGTCACTTATATATCACTTATATATTGTATATATTATATTATTATACACATACATTTAAATTTGAATTGTAGTATTCCAAAAATAAAATGCCTAGATCGAACCAACAAAATCTTGTCTACCATAGTGACAACATTTAATTCTTCAATTCCTCAATCCGAGCATCTAACCATTAATCATTTTACATACATATATATATATATATATATGGAACTAGCAGCATGGCCCGGCGTTGACTGTGCTTGATTCAAAAATCGTACGACACGTACAGCAATCGCTATCACTTGACTTAAAATATTTTTACCCTTCCTTGCCTTTAAAGGAGCGACCTTTGCCATGCTGATGTTGCTACATGCCTTACTTCTTGCCTATCTCACACTGCAAATTTTTTCTAAGCTCTATACTAAACATTAAATCTGTTACGAAAAAAGAACTAAACAAAATGAACACAAAATGATCAGCTTTTAAAAAGGACTCATAACTGGAAAAACTGAATGAAAAAAGAGTGTTAACAACAAATACTTTTTCACACCCAACCCAATTCTGTGGTATCAGAATCAACATTGAGTTTAAGCAAGCGAATGAGCCAATTGAAGTAAAGTACCATGCAGATTTAAATTTTTCCCAATTGTGACGAATGCAGTTATCGATTTTTTTTTTTGCATGTTAGCATGCTAGTTAACATTCGTGTCAGTCAGCTGTTGGCTCTCACACTGGCTAATAGAACCTTCCTGCCTATTTGTGGCAGCCAGCTATAGGCTCTCACTGTGGCCAGTAGAAAATGGCCACAAACTACATGAAAACTGTAGAAGCATGAAAAAATCAATTATTTCCACTATCAATGGGAGTTGGGAAATGCAAAGTCGGTCTTGGGCTTCCCGCTAACTTGGAGCATGTGCATGTAAATTTTGGTGCAAATCCGTCAAAAATTGCGGCCGTGCATTCGTTACACACACACACACATTCTGCCTTTTATAGATCGAGATAACGGTATATAAATTTTTATGTATCAGGAACAGTTTTGAAAGAAAAGTTGTATGACAAATTGGAAAACATTTTTGGAATGCATTTCAACTGTTAGAACTTTGTTGGACAGAGTTTTTTTTTATGTTCATTAATATGAATGAGAGATGTTCCAAAATTTAGCAATAACTTTTTTTTTTTTTTTTCAATGTAGACAATTCATCTAGATTCTTTATCTTTGTGTTTCCATCACTTTTATTATTAAATATCCCACATTGTGATAACAGAAAATCTGCCAAGAATGGTGAAACATTGTTTTAAGAACCTGGACATAGTTATTGTAGATGAACTAGTGATTAGAAAACTTTCTATACACACACACACGCACATAATTATAATATATCACACTTACAGTGCTGGTGTTAATAAAACAGTTCTCAATGTAATATAACAGAGCTATTAAGTATATATTAATAAATATATGTATTATCCTTCACTGGTTGCACCACTTGGAGTTTCATGCACAAGGCAATCTTTAGGTCCTAAGCATTGGACATACTGTTATGCAATTTGAATTATATATGCTTATTACAATATTGGTGTAGTTATATATTATGCCAGGATTACAATGATAATATCTATATCTTGTATATGTGTGTGTGTGTGTGTGTATATATATATATATATATATATATATATATAATCTACTGGGAGCTTGTGGGGAAACCAACCCTTCCAGTTCTTTTGCTTTGAGCTGATGTTTTAGTTTATTTACAAACCATATCCTTTAGTGAACTTTATTTATTGTTCTCTTATTTAATTCATTTAATTATTTATTTCTTTATTTTGGTATTTGATTTATGGGATGTTATTTAGTCTTTTAAGTTGTGATGTAGTTGTAGGAATAAACTTTTTCAATTATTAGAATTTCAAACTGAAGAAAATATGAAAACAAAAAAAAATCATAAATCAATATAAAATATTTACCTTTACTAATTTTCGATATCTTGGTTTAAAATGAATTTTTATAAATGAAAAAGATTTCTTGAAGTTTTCATTTTAGCTCTAATTGAAGGCTAAAGGATTAAATTTACTATTTTCAGTAAACAAAATACTCTGGTTTATTTCAAACAGAAATCATATTGATTGGAATTGATTTTTTTTTTTTCTAAAATAGCTGATTAGTACACTTTTTTAGTCGCTCTTTCATCGCAATGTAATTCTCTTTATTAAAAAATCTTTCAAAAATAAAATATACTTTCTGAAACTTTATTTGAGGAATATTAGTTTATTTAAAGTATAATTAATCTGGTTTTTAAAAAAATATTTTAAGTTTAAAAAGAGAAATGGATTTTTAAAACAAACAGTAGCAGTGGGTTTTCACCAACAGCAACAATTCTTATGTAATTAATAAGTACTGACAAATGCTGATAAGGTGTTGACAGTTTTATTGTTGTACTATGGAGACTTATCTGTTAAAAGATAATTTTAGAAAATGATGGTTTAGCCCCTTTTTTATATAACTTTTAAGTACTCAGTAATCTTAAAAATGTTGGAAGATATTCCCTGTAATCTAATTTTAGGAATGTTGATTTTAAATATACTATATTCATTGCTCTTATTTTATGGTAATGTCATATATAATCAACTATACTTTCAAAAAATGGGCACATGATGTAATATTTTATATACATAAAAAAATTTAAAATTATTTTAAAATCTTGGTGCAAAATGATTTCAATTTTTGATTAGTAAATATAGTTTTCACTTTATAACAATATCATCTAATCAGATGAAAGTAATGTAGAATTTTAAATGATTTATATATTATAAATTATTATACTTATAAATTAAGAAAAAATGAAATCAATTCTTGTAAAAATTCATTATTCATCAAAAAAATTTTTTCTTAAGGCAATAGTGTCCTTAATAAATCTTATTTATAAGAGCAATTAAAAACTTTTCTAATTAAATAATGTCATAGTTTTATTGCATTTTTTATTTTATGATTCAGTGCAAATTTCAGGAAAATGTCTAGTAGTTTGAAAATAAAAGAAACAATTGATGATTTACATTCTCCAAGGAGTCCTGCTTTTAACTAATAAAAAACAAAATTTGG